GTCAGGTTTGTATTCAGTAAAATGGCTATCGTTTGGAAGGAAATAGTTTATTTTGCCATTGGTTATCTGTGTAAGTGCTAATTAATCTGAGCCGCCTTATTAAATGGGAAAAAATAAAGAGAAAAGTTCTTTAATCACCCTTTTGATCATCTTTAATTCTACATCTCTATCATCTCACTTGATTAATTATGTTTACTAGGACTGTAATAGAACAAAATGGTTCCATTCTGTTTTGGTTATCTTGCTTTTCATTATCATTTAAGCACATTTGTACATATCCCTTTTCCACTCTCATCAAACCCTATAGGATCTAGAACAAAATATATTTTTGCTTCTCTTTTCAGTTGTGTGTTTTCACTTCAATAAAATTACTCCTGATTTACACCTCTATTTTTATTACACCTCTGGAGTAATTTTATTTTCCTTCCATTCCAATATAATGTACAGAAAAGTGCAGATGGATTGTGCTTTTGCATTTCTTGAGTAAGGAAGGCGAAATTTCCCATTAATTACTTTCTGTGCTGAAATCATTGAAGCTAAAAATTAACTGTTTCCTAAAATATGTTCACCTTTTTATATGGATTCATCCTGCACTATAACTTGTTGACTCAAAAGTAAGCATGTACAGAATCACAGGCCTAGTGTGTGTCATATACACATTATGGAAGTAAACCCCATGACCTCTGAATAAACAAGCATGGGACCAAGCTGTAAATCTGTTAGTACAACTTCTAGGCGTATTTGCATCCTTCTTGAAGAAGTGTGCATGCGCACACGGAAAGCTTATACTCCACGAACAAACTTAGTTTGGTTTCTAAGGTGCTACTGACACAAATTTTTAATTTTGTATAGAGCAAGTCTTTGTGCTGGCGAGGGACTGGTGGGAGTTGTACTCTTAAAACATTTGAACTAGGTTGACAGAGGCTAATATAGAGTATTGTATTTGGTTTATAGCTTAATTACCAACATAAAGTTTGTTTTATCTTCTGTTTTTAGGAAAAGTTGTAGATATTTATTCCAAATTTGATGTAAATAGTAAGTATTTACATGTTTTATATCTTTTAAAATATATTTTATATCTCTCACTTTTGCCCAGAGGCTTTTTCCTAGAGTAGAATGGTCCTTTTTGCTCTTCAGTTCCTTATATTTCTATGTTAGTCTCTAACTTCAATTATTCCTATGATGGTTTCCATGATGCTTCTAGAGGGGTGGAAGGTAAATTTCCTTGGAGAGGAGAGAGCAGCTGGGCAACCAACAAAAGACTGCAGTCTGTTACTCGGTGCAAACCTAATGGTGCCCCATCTCCTAATCAAGATTGGGATATCATAGGTTGGGCACCGCTCCTATATTCTCCCCCTCTTCTGTGAGCACCCACCACTCAACTTGAGTTCTGTAGCTATCTATGATAAGTGTTAGAGTCTAAACCACTGAGCTTGCTGATCAAAAGGTCGGTGGTTTGAATCCCCGCGACAAGGTGAGCACCCGTTGCTCGGTCCCAGCTCCTACCAACCTAGTAGTTTGAAGCATGTCAAAGTGCAAGTAGATAAATAGATACCGCTCCGGCGGGGAAGGTAAACGGTGTTTCTGTGCACTGCTCTGATTTCGCCAGAAGCGGCTTAGTCATGCTGGCCACATGACCCGGAAACTGTCTGCAGACAAACGTCGGCTCCCTCAGCCAGTAAAGCGAGATGAGCGCCACAACTCCAGAGTCGTTTGCGACTGGACTTAACTGTCAGAGGTCCTTTACCTTTACCTTTTTATGATTAGTATTATGTTTACACACTAATTTGCACTAATCCAACAGTTTGCAACCATGATTAAAGTGGAAATCTGGTGCAAAGTGAAATAGGACTACCCATTTGAGACAGGAAGGAGAGGAGTGTGCAAGCTCACTGGGTTTTCCTGATATCCTGAACTTGGTTTGGAGATCAGGAAACATTAATCTGCAAAGAGCCAATCATGTTTTAGCAGAGGCACTATAGTCCTCCTAACTGGCATGCAAGCTTGGTCATAATGTTATATGTTTGTGCATCCTAACATTGCACATATTTATTTGGATTGTACTCTTAGCGTATCTGGAGGACTGGGTTTTTGGTCCATTTCTGAAGTGATCTTAGTAGCATCACATTCCTGATATACGGGGATAATACATTGGGTGTTTCGTTAAAAAAAAAAGAGTCTTATGTAATCACTTTTTTTCAGAATCTTGCTGCTGAAAAAACTTATAATAACTTAGATATCACAGTGACACAAGCCCTACAACACCGCTCTCAGTATTTTGAAGGTGTTGTGAAATGCAGTAAGCTGGAAACACTGGAGACCATCGTGGACCGGATAGTTAAAGCTGAGGTGAGAATTCTTGGACCACAACACATTTCTGAGTAGTGTTGCTAACCAGAATTCCAGCTAACACAATTTCAAAGAAGGACTCGGATGATGTCTGCATAAGACTCCTTCAAAGGTGTGCTAGAATGTGCATTTAAAATTATATTCTATAATCCTACATAAAGCACAACGGCTCTGTACTTCATGGATTCTTTATTCTAACTTTTAAAGACTTATATTTCTTACACTTTCTTTAAAATAAAAAAGTAATTGAGCATGATGAACTACTACAACCTTGGAGACTTTGGGTTTTGGCAAGCAGTGTGACCAAGCCCTGATTTTTGTGGCGATTGTGATGGCTACCTATGAAAACATGTGGCATTGTTGATGGACTGAAGTCTAAAGGTCTTTTGCTGAAATGAAGAGGTGGGAGATCTAAAGTTGCTCTAACCTAAGGTTTATAGATGATAAACTTAGGTGGACTGTTGGTGGTTATGTGAGAACTGTGACCTCTGCCATATTTTTTAAAACTTGATGAATATTAGTTTGCAAAGGCACATCACAGAAATGTGGATTCTGCTAGCGCACCCTTTAATCAGTATTTATGTGACAACTAGTATACGTTGGTTGAAAGGGGAAAAGAAATGCAAACTCATTGAAATGTTCTTGTAAGTTTAATACAAAGCACATGGTCTGGATAAGGGTGTAACGAATAATTACGCTTTGCTTTCAAAATACTGCACGTTTTGAATTCTGCAGTAATACCAGGGACAGGACAGTTCTTCTGGGATAGTGCTGCCTTTTAGCTACTGGCATGATCACCTTGCAAGCAGCAGGCTAGGAAGTAGCTTCTCCCCTAGGATGGGACAGGATAAATGTTATGAGGCATATGGGAAACTTTCCCATACAGCCATCACCATTGTAATGGAACATACACTCTTCCTTCACTGACAAAGCCAACCAAGCCATACTATGCTTTCTCATTTTCCCCTCTCCCTGCCCAATGCCCTAATTTCAGACCATAATTTGAAAAAGTGAAATGCAAAATATTCTGAGTTATATTTTTCATATGGGATAAAATCAGTTATGACAGCCGATCAGGTGCACACCTGATCTCTGACAAAGCAAGAACAGATAGCAATGGAAACTTTCCAACATAAACTAAGATAGGTGTGTGCTTTAAAATCAATGGTATATCAATTTTATTTTATATATTTCTAAACACAGACATAGCCAATTTTACAATATCTTTTCAGAAAGATGCCATGTAATTATTTCACAACATACGTAGATACCAGAAATCTGAATTAGATTGGAGGATGGGTGGAGGTTTTTTTTTTAAGTAATTGGTTATTACTGTTGCGTCTTGGCAGAGAAGTGATTGTACTGTCACTTTATTAATCGATAGCCTTTGAGTAATGAAGCTGTTGAACTTGAGAAAGATGGCCAAGTGACTGACCATGTGATAGTCCATACTTAATAGTCATATTAAACCCATCCATCATAATAACCCTGTCTAAAGTATCGCCAACGTAAGAGGAACATATATAAAAATAGAATTTCCCCCCTTTTCTATTTCTTTCCTGTGTTCCCCATTTGTATCAGGTGGGTATGACTGTTCAAATACAAGAGAAGAGGAGCTCTAAGTTACCTGGCCGGTATGTAGTTCACCTCTGTCCTAAACTGTTGAAGTACCTTGACTTGAACTTTGCTATGTCTATTTCTTTGACAAAGGCCTCTCTTGCTCTTTGTTTCTTGTATTTCTGAGTTACTTTTAGCCAACATTTTGATGGAAGTTTAGAGTGGTTACAAAATTGGAAAATGGTTGAGAGCAATCATAAAACATCAAATGTTTAGTAGAGCCGAGGTCATCTGTTGAGAGTCTGGTCGTTCTTTAAATGCTTTGTGGGAACTGATCATCTCACTATTTTGCATCTTTATCATTTGGGCATCTTTCCCAACAACAACTGCTGTCTTACTCAAATGTCTTCGTGGCAAAGCTACAAGTACTCCATGATAAGTGTGCGTATTTAAAAACAGCTGAACAAAACTTTTGTCAGATTATAAAGCGAAAAAGATGTAGACCTACTCTAGAAAAGCGTGTCAGATAAGGTTGTGGACTTTTCCCTCTCAAACAGCTGTTCACATACCCCATATATGAGATGCCAACTGTGGCATACTCCGTGTGGGTTTATGGCACTGCTGTTGGCATGTTCCCCAGTTCAATTAACTAGATGCAAACTCACAAACAGAGGGCTGCTGGCACTGTCTGCTCATCAATGCTTGACTGGTTGTACATTTGCCCAAAGGGGTGGCTGTGCAGTATAGCAAACTGCTTTTGAAACTCAGGAGATGTGATATGTGGGGAGGGTATGTTGTTTAAAAGTCCTACTGGGCAAACACAAACTATAATATGCACCTAAAATAGCGGTGCATAAATTTTAAAGACACACCATTAAACTGACGTCGTAAATTAGGCTAATCTAATTATAAATATGATTTAACTATGTATGGAACCAGTAACATTACACTTCACTTTTATAATAAAAATAGACTTGTTAGTTTTAGTCTGTTCCTTGTTAGATTATGTGGCAGTGTTTGGGTTACAGACAGTATCTATTTTTAACAAGAACTTTCCACTTGAATGTATTCATAATGAGTAGGAATAATTTCTGTTGAACTTTATATTCTGTTCTGACAATGAGGAAATGCAATCTGCACTCTCAGATTTCTTCTATCTGTCGACGGACAGTTCTTTACTGTTAAGTAACACCTTGCTAGCATTTCAACAATTAGCCTTTCATAGCTGTGAAAAGTGAAATGTATTCTGCTACTGTGCAGCATGTCCCTGTTCAATTATAGAACAGCTGGGCCTCCAGTTATTCATGTACAAGCCCACAGAAAAGATGTGAATGCAAACACACAGTGCTAACAGTGAGGGAAATTGGGACTGCTTTTTAATGACACACTGGTGTAAAACTAAATGGTCTGATCCAGGCTTCACCTAGCGGCATTGGAAAATGGAACCAGTTCATGTTTTCTCTTTGTTTCTCACTGTAAATTCGATTTCAATGTGTTGTGCCCTCCTGGGTCTCTGGAGCTGAACAAAAATTTGTTCTGGAAAGTCTCTATATTAATTCATTGAGGGGGAGCCGAGTGTCCTTCTAAATAACTTGATTCATCTGGCTATTATTAACATGAACGTGGAGTGCACTGCTTATTGGCAAATACAGTAATCTTTTAATATGCTTTTGTTTCATGTTTGCAGGTGCATCGATTGGTGGTAGTGAATGAAGCAGATAGTATTGTTGGTATCATCTCCCTCTCGGACATCCTACAAGCTCTGGTGCTCTCACCAGCTGGTATGTGGGCAGCATTTATGTATTGAGTTCTTCTGTAACATACAAAGTATCGTACAATAACTTTATGCTCACAACAACTCTTGAAAGTTGAGACTGATGCTGATTTGCTCAAGGCCAAGTGGGCTTCATGACTGAGCCAGTTGTCTCCTGTATTCACACCAAATGTCACAATGATAACCTTATCTTAAAACCAGCACGTCTTTTAGTTAGCACCCCTAAAATGTGAATTTCTCCATTATGTGGAGAACTGGATTAATACTTCTAGTTATCAGTTAGTCGGACAGCTTAACCCTTGTGCATGTTGGAGCATTGGTATGCACAGTAATCTCTCCCTTGCACACAAATGTAATAGACTGAACTTGCACTTGCACTTAGTGCGCTGGGCTGCCTCTGATATAAGTGAGCAAAGAATTGTATACAGGCCACAACTGCTATGAATGCATTTGGGTGTCAGCTGAACTTTGCATCTGGACCATATTGTCCTCTAGCTAAAAAGTTTAAAATAACAAAAAGTACAGTGTATATTGCATTAGAGCTTAAAAGTAAAGTTTATACATTGTATATTATGAATAGTCCAAACTTCCATAAAAATAAAAGGTTTGGCAGAATGCATAATGGCTTTGAAAATTTCACTGGGTGCAGGGGTAGAAAGATCAAATTTTGCCAGGCACAAAAATGTTGTGTGTTGAATGCTGGGCAAATGCAATCTCTCCCATGATATGAGAGTATAGACCATGGGTAGGCAAACTAAGGCCCGGGGGCCGGATCCAGCCCAATCACCTTCTAAATCTGGCCCGCGGACAGTACAGGAATCAGCGTGTTTTTACATGAGTAGAATGTGTCCTTTTATTTAAAATGCATCTCTGGGTTATTTGTGGGGCAAAGGAATTCATTATTATTATTTTTTTCAAAATATAGGCCGTCCCCCACAAGGTCTGAGGGACAGTGGACCGGCCCCCTGCTGAAAACATTTGCTGACCCCTGGTGTACACATTTTCTCATATATATCTTTCCGTTAACAGGTGCCAAACAAAAGGAAAGTGAAACTGAATGATTGCTGTGAACGTATAAACCTTTGTAGAAGAACTTGATTGAAGTTACTGGGTCATCTTTGCCTCAAGAACACTGGCAGCACTAGAGAAGAGAGAAATGGGGATGAGTATGTGTGTATTGGGACTGAGTGTTGGGTAACTAGTCTATTACTTCCCAGTGACTGTCACACACAAAAAGCAGCATGACAAAAAGCTTATGTATTAAATACAGGCTTGCATTTCAAAATGTTTGCTGAAAGACTTCACATGATGTCGTTCATCTAAAATGCACTGTATCCTGAAACAAACATCTTTTGTATTTGATAGAAGTCACTGCTCAGCAACAGATCTCTGACATAAGGCAAGTGTATGGCATATTCATATCATAGTGCCTTATGTCAAAAAGCCAACAATATGTCATCGCTGTTGCCCATCACAATAAGAGGAAGTATTGTGTGAAACGAGACACTGTATTTGAATGTTCAAGTTGCTAAACCTAAAACCAAATCAGTTTCAGTTATCATTAGATTTGTCATAAAAGCTGTAATTTGAATATCAGTAGATTACCTTAAGACTTTAATGACAGTTTTGTGTGTTTATAAATGTTGCATTCTGAAGAGATGGTAAAACAAGACTGATCTAAAACCAGCTTTATTTATTTTTATTTTCTTGCAATTTTTTACACATCTTTGGTGGATAGCTAAAACTTCACCATATTCATTAATAAAACATTGATTGTTATATAAGAAGATCTCTCGTTACTAAAAACAGTGGTGCAAACCATGTGGCATTTAGATGGGTTGTACACAAGAGGCACAGAAATCAGGGGTTTGTCAAATGTATCACCACTAGACACCTCATATTTCCACAGAAAAGAAGCTATGAAAAAGTAATCAACAAAGGAAGGTGAATGTTGATTGCATATAAACTTGCAGAAAAGTAACAGTATCATGCTGGTAGTCTGTAAAGATTGGAATGAAAACCAGGGTGTGAGAATAATTCCAAAAGTCCTACTGTGTAATTTTAGTAACAAAAAAATCCTAGGTGTCCAGAAGATGGCATAATCCACTTAAAAATACACCCATAAATCTCCATATGCAGTACAACCACATGTTCTGGCATATTCCATTTTTAGGGCGATTCAGATTAATTCCCTTCAGAAGGCAAACTGATTATTTGTGTAACATATATATTTGTTGTCCAAAATGTAGTTGTTTTTAAGGATGTGCTCGTCTCTTTTTAATATGCTTATTTTTTAAAAAAACCAGAAAACAGGCAGTTCTTTTCCCTTTTGAGAAATTAAAGAAAGATATCTGTGGAAGACTCTGGAGTTGAATAGCTTCTTTCCAGGGAAGGTCCTGTCCCTTAAGCATCTATTTGTCCCCTGTACATGGTGTGAATATGTTGGCTGTATACTAGCAGAATGTATCTCTGCAACAAGACTTCCCATCCCTACTGTTCAGACATCATTGCCAAAGTGCCTATGTTCAGTGCAATGTCCTGATTTTGGGGTGGGGTGTTCTAATAAAATACAGTCAGAGGGCTAGCCTCCCCAGCGCTTTAGAGTGTACTTGATCATTAATTAACCGTTTCTTCTTTACAGGTTCTGCCCATTTTATAATTGTTTAAAATATTTATATTCCACCTTTCTGCCTTGCCAATGCCTGACAGAAAGCAAAAATTAGTACAGTCAAATAAAAAAAAATTAAGGGCAGTGATAAAAGCTGTGGGCTCTGTTCACTCCTCCAACCTTTCAGTGTTTCTGCTGAGGCTGTTCCAACTGTGTCACTTGAAAAGTTTCATGATAACCATTAGTTAACTTCGCTGGGGAAGGTTTGTTCCTTTTATTGTCTATTTCCTCCCATAGCAAATAGCTCTCTTTAACTATTACAAAATGAAAGGAAGCCAGTAATTAAATCTTCATACACACCACACACAAATGGAACAGGCTTCAGGGGCAATTCATAAGTAATCCACACACCCAGTTGTGCTGCATAGGTAGCAATAAAAAGCACTAAACCTGGAATAAGGCATCTACTAATGTTGCAAGAGACCTTTGCTGAATGGAACTGCCTTGTGAAGAAACATTGCAGAAGACTTGGCCATGGAGAAGAACGCTTGTGGAGTATATAGTGCTGTATCGCGCCATGTAGAAACACACCGTTAATTCCACATCCAGATGCTTATGTAAGAGCAGTGTGAAAGGAAAATATATTTGCTGTGTCTGGACATTCAGAATGTGACAGAAGACAGGTCCTAGTTTTCTTCTGCATCATTTACATTCCAAATAGGTGATACATACAATGCAAAAAACAAAAGGAACTGATCGTGCTTACAATCCAGAATACCCTGTTCCTTTTATCTACTCTCCAAACTATTCTTGTTGAAGGGAGTCCGGACCCCTCCAACAATACATGATGGTCTGTGCAAATTTCATAGTCTACGTCTAAAGGGTGCCAGTACAGCATTGAGGTCTCTCATGAAAGGTGAACAATTATCCAGAGATTTCAGATGGGATAGATAAGATTTTGTCAGCTGCAGCCAGAGTTAACATGGCTGAGAAGGACAATGTACTTTTTCCACCATTGGTACTGACTTCTATCCTGCTTGTATCCTCTTCAGAATGTGTGCTTTAAACAGGTTAAACATTAAAATTAAATACGTAAGCGAAATACGTGTATGAAACAATAACTGGGAGCAATTATGAGTAAATGCTATTGGATAAGAAAACTACATCCTATGGTTGCCAAAGCATCTTTAAATTAAATAACACTTTATATGCTGAGAGATACATTGTATATACTAATAGTATACTCTTTCTTCAAGTGTGAATCCTTATGCAGCCAAAATGGCACAAGGAACTAGGGAAGTATCAGCAAGCTAGGGAGAACTCAAAGGTTTGCAGAAACAGAAAAACAGGAGGGGTTATGAAATAATATTATCTGAGAGGAGTGAATGGCTAGAACACAAAATATTATTTTATTTGTAGAACTACTTTTCGTTAAAAAATGGTGAAGTAGTTTACAGAGGAAATCAACAAACAAAATTAATAGATGGGCAGGGTACAAGTAATAAATTATCATCATCATCAGAGCTATTTCTCTAGGAGAAGAGGTGCCAGAACTCACCATGAAATCCACCCTTGTTCTCTTATAATGACAATGGCAGCCACCAGAGAGGTGCTGGAACTGAATTCCAGCGAGTTCCGGCTGAAATAAAAGCCCAGATTTTTTATTATTATTACAGTATATAGAACAGAAAATATCAAAATCCATGAAATGGGATTCCCATTTATATAATAAATAAAAGCCCGGATTTTTTATTATTATTACAGTATATAGAACAGAAAATATCAAAATCCATGAAATGGGATTCCCTTCACTCAAGATGCACATAAATTCTACTGAAACATCTGTAAAACTACCAGCATACATTCACCCATATATGCAAGCATGCTCTCAACAATTACTTGTCCCAACAATCTCCAGAGTACATATACAAAGACTCTACTATAACACTGTCAGCCTTCTCGGGTAATTCTTACTCAATCTTTTCTATGGGAAACCCAAACTTCGCTGCACCATCTGAGATGAGCCTAATCCTCACTACCCAGAAGGAGAAGGTTTTAAAAAATATTCATTGCATTTATAACCCAGTGGTTCTCAAACTTTTTTCTCTATGCTATACTTTCAAAATAAACACTTGCTCATGTTGCACTGATTTTTTTATTATTGATAAATACATCTGAAAACAAAAAAGGACTCACAGCAATATTCTACAAATAAAAAATATTTTGATAATACAGGCGGTAACCATTTTGCTTGGGGGTTCCATTCCTGGCCCTCGGGTGGGTCAGGAAAGTGTGCATAAGCCCATTACTCCCTCATTCTGACCTCCAAAAGGACCCACTTGTCAGCAGTTGTGCATCAATTGGACGCGTACAAAATGGTCGCTGCCTGTATGCTATACTATACTGCACTGAAATGTTTAAATGTTTCTTTGATGATCCTTGAATCTTCCTGCCACACTGCCATCCTTTTCTGTCACACCAGTGTGGCACCACCACACCCTTACAAGAACCACTGCTCTTAACCACTACACCACACTGGCCCCCATAAAAGTTACTCTATGCTAGTTACACATATGCTTGGGAGAAGCAAGTGAGTTGGAGAATAGGAGATAGGAAGCACACCCATCACCATGTTGTCAACCAGCACACACACACTCCAAGAAATCCCGGGGAACCTGCATGCTTTGGAACCTATAATGTAGGTTTTGGGCAGAAACTTATAAGGCCTCTTCACCCAGTCCTTCACAAAGAGCAGAATTGTAACCATGTAAGTTGTAATACAGTGACTAATGTGCATATAATTTCTCTGTGTGAGTGCATACAATATTAGAATTATTAGTCACTGATAAAAGCAGCCAGTGTGTTGCAGTATAGTTGTAGCAGACTTGACCCGTGGCTGAAATCGCTGTGCTTGACCGTGAACCTCGACCAAATCACAACCCTCTTAGTTTGCTCTTGTTTACAGCGTGTTGTGAGGAGAAAACGGAAAAACTCAACTGCCGTTCCCTTCCTGGATGGGAAGGTTTTATTTTGAAATCTTTAGTTTTCTGTTAATTATGTTGTTTTGACTGTATACCCTATATTTGACTTTCTTCAGATTGTGTTATTTATGCTTTATTGATTTAATATGCTGACACAACCTTGATGGCAGAAAGTGAGAAGGAATTAAAGAACCTTTTAACGAGGGTGAAAGAGGAGAGCGCAAAATATGGTCTGAAGCTCAACATAAAAAAAACGAAGATCATGGCCACTGGTCCCATCACCTCCTGGCAAATAGAAGAGGAAGAAATGGAGGCAGTGAGAGATTTTACTTTCTTGGGCTCCATGATCACTTCAGATGGTGACAGCAGCCACAAAATTAAAAGACGCCTGCTTCTTGGGAGAAAAGCAATGACAAACCTAGACAGCATCTTAAAAGTAGAGACATTGCCTTGCCAACAAGGTCCGTATAGTAAAAGCTATGGTTTTCCCAGTAGTGATGTATGGAAGTGAGAGCTGGACCATCAAGAAGGCTGATTGCTGAAGAATTGATGCTTTTGAATTATGGTGCTGGAGGAGACTCTTGAGAGTCCCACGGACTGCAAGAAGATCAAACCTATCCATTCCGAAAGAAATCAGTCCTGAGTGCTCACTAGAAGAACAGATCGTGAAGCTGAGGCTCCAGGACTTTGGCCACCTCATGAGAAGAAAAGACCCTGATGTTGGGAAAGATGGAGGGCACAAGGAGAAGGGGACGACAGAGGACGAGATGGTTGGACAGTGTTCTCGAAGCTACCAGCATGAGTTTGATCAAACTGCGGGAGGCAGTGGAAGACAGGAGTGCCTGGCGTGCTCTGGTCCACTGGGTCACGAAGAGTCGGACACGACTAAACAACAACAACAACAAACCGCTTGGAGATTTTTCTTAAAAATATAAAGGGGTATAGAAATAAAAATACTGTAGCCCCCTGATCCACACACGTGGTAAAACCATTCAAGGAATCAAACCCAATCAGTGCAAATATCGTAGCACTCGTGATTCAGGTACTGTACACACAAATCCCTGGCGGCAGACTGGATAGTAAGATACGTCAATGCATTTTTTTAAAGCTTTCCCAGTGCAAACGGAGGGAGCTCAATCATTCCCGTGCGCTGATTTGGGGGCCAAAGCGTGCGCAACCATTGCACTAGAACCGCACGTTAACACAGAAACCACCGGCGGCTTCCTGCCAGCTGCCCACTAGTTAAGGGGACATTTTGACAATGGGCCCAGCACGCACGTACTCAAGCACGCACGCACGCACGCGCTGCTCTTTCCCTCACGCAAGGCCGCTCCGCTATCTCCTGCCAATCACCGGAGAGACAACCCCCGCGACTCCACCCTCCCACACCTTCCATTCGGATTTGGCCAATAGCAGCGAGTCATCAGCGGGACCCAATCAGCAGCCCCGTTCGCGCGCAAAGCCGCCGCCCCGCCCCGCCCTCCGCCAACCAACAAAAAATAGCCGATATATCCAACCAACGCCTGCCCCTCCTGAGGAGGTGAAAAGGAGTGGGCGGGGTCGGGAGAGCCAGAGCCAGAGCCAAACAAGCAGGCGGGGCAACCCCCTTGAGGGAAGGATGACGCAGCGAAATTTCCAGCGCGAGCTCGGCTCGGCCGTTTGCCCGCCTGCCAGTCCAACGGTGAACCTCTCCCTCGCCCGTGACGCAAGCGCGCACGACGGCGGCCGTACGTGGGCGAGCGACTGCTGAGGCGAAGATGCGCGCACGCGCGAGCGGTGGGGGGGGTGAAGGGGAGGAAGCGGAGGAGGAGACGGCCGAGGACGGCGGTTGTCACGTGAGTGAAGCGGGCGCCGTCGCATCGCAGTGCCTCTCAGTCAGCGAGTCCCGCGCGGTCCGTCTCTTCCCCTCACCCCTCCCTCCGCCGCCTTGCATGCCGCGCGCTGCCGCCCCCTGCCGCCTCTACCTGTCCCCAGCCGGCCCCACCTAAGGCCTCGGCCGCCCGCCGCCGCCTCCTCCGCCTCCTCGTCAGGAGCAGCGCCTCCCGTTCTCCCTCTCGTCCCGCTCGCCCGTGGCCGGAGCCCTTGATGTGGTTCGGGGCCCGGCGGGGAAAAGATGCCGCCGTCCAAGTCCCGTAAGATCGCCATCCTGGGCTACAGGAGCGTCGGTGAGTCACTCCCTGAGGCGGGTGGAGGGTGCGGGGAGCGGGCCCCGAAGGGCTCCCCCAGACCGGGGCGCTTCTCTCAAGCCCCCCACGCGGGCGCGACCGGCCTCCGCCCTCGGCCCAAGTTGAGGCTCCGCAGGCGGACGTGCGCGCCGCTCCCGCCTCGTGGCTTGGCGGCCGAAAGGGGGCAGCTCGCCTTTCGAAGCCGGTCGCAGGTGAGGAGGACGACGACGACGACGACCCGCCTTGGGCCTGTCAGCCGTTTTCCGGGCGGGCTGCTGCCCTGCCTGCTTTCGGTGCTGGCGGGGATGGGAAGCGTGTGGCGGTGGCCTCGCGCGCGTGTCTGTGTGCATTTCCCCGTAACTTAGCCTCGCCGGGCTCCCCACGCAGTGCACCCGAGGCAGATGCCTCACAACTCCCGGGGCCGTTTTCTCCGGAGAGGCTCCGAGCGGCCGTTTTGCATTTCCCGCGTCTGCAGAGGCGACTTGTTAATCTTCCGCGGTCTGGCCTCTCGGGGAACACCGTTCCCGCTCCAGGCTGACGTGAAATCGCTTTCCCAACCCACCCCCCTTCCTCGTGCAAAGCGTGGTTACGGGTAATGATGGTTTCCGGGGCAGCTCCCAGATGTCCACTCCCATCCACTGCGCCTGGCACCGCATACCCAAGATCGCGCTTTCGCAATAATGATTTGGTAGCTGCCGCGAATAGTGAGTGACAATCCGTTTTTGCCGCTCCACACATTTGGTCTTTGAGAGCAATCGCTTCCGGTGACCCACCGCGTTAAGAAAATTGGGCTCTTGTGGTTTTTTCCCCTCCACCCCTCCCCAAAGTTGGAAACTGGTATGAGTTGGTGGAAATAATTTGCACATTCGGTTCTGCAAATTATCCTGGTCTGAAGATGACAGTGTGTCTTAAAGCGTTAGTGCAAGTTAACCAGTTTGAGTTTTGGTTCCTTAAACTACATTGCTATGTGGGTCAGTTATTATGGATTTATTGCATGTTAACAATGTGTTGGATACTGTACAGGAAGAGAAGTGATGCATTACTAAAACCATTCACCAATGAGGAAGATAACTATGGCTTTGTCTCGTCTCTTTGACATACTTTATAGACCCGCTTAAGCTTCTGCACCAAAGGACTTTCATAGGGAGTAAAACTCATTCAAGCAGAATTCCCCAGAATGCTGGTAGTGGTTTGAAACTAATCACAGGTGCAGTTTCTACATATAAAAGACATTAACTTCAGTTCGCTCTTTGTAAATCATTTTACTTTTTTGCTTAAAGTAGTTTAGATTAGGGGGTCTCAAGATTTGCCAAATTAAGTCTCCCTAAATCATTGGCCAAGTTTTTCAAATGTAAGATTAGAAAGTAATTATTGTGGAGTAATTGAAAATGAAGTAATAATTTACTTAGGACATGTAGTGGAGGTGCAGGGGAATGTCTCTGAAAGAAGCCTCCTCCCTTTCCTAGCAGCTGCCTCCTTATGGAGGCCCAAATCAACTTCAGGGATTGGGCAAACTTCTTTTATTCTGCTTGCTCAAACATTTAGCAGCTTGTCTGGTTTCTGACTGTTTCCTCCAGGTGTGATGATGGGACAGGTAAACACATAGTAAAGGGTGTGACTATGTGTGTGTTTTACATTGGCTACTGTACAGCAAGTGTTAAAGTATATTAAATAGTATGTATTTGATTGTAGTAGAAAGCTCAATGGACACCTGGTCTTTGTCAGGTAAATGGGGTTACTTTCAAAATACATTTGAGGGCAAAGAGCATGTGACCACTTCTACAGCTGACAAAGCTGCATTGGGGACTCATCACATCTTTTATGGCGCAAACCTACAAAACAAAGTATTAATTACATGGGCACTTGAACACAGGTGTTTTCACATGTGTATCATTGTACAAATAGCATTTGTCTGGAAGCTATGATTGGCAACAGCTTCCCATTGAGTTCACATTTGGCAGCAAACCTGGGTTTGCCACCTTGTCATACACAAAAAAAAACCTTGAGTGCTTAGTAAAGGTCTTCTGGTACATGAGTAAGTCAGCCGTGCAGTTTGTTACTGTTTGCTTGAAACATGTAGCAAGTGCTTTGGGATGCCCCTCTTTCCATCCTCTTACTGCTCACCAATCTAAACAGCACTATCATAGGTCATTTAAAGCTGGAATCTAACCCTTTTTTAACACTGTGCTCTCTGCTTTCTCCCCTAAGGGTCCATGGACCTTTAAATGCTGAAATGATGGCATTCTTTAGATATTTTGTTCTGTTCTAAACAAAAGTAATGTTAAAGAGCAAGGTGGGTGGAAAAAGGGCTTCAAAGTCCAGCTATATAAACAAACTGGGTAGCAGCATCCACAGTGTAAACCAGCTGAGTGTTAAGTCATAGTGTGTAAAATAAGTTATTTCCAACACAAGATGGGAGGAGTCCAAAGTTGAGGAGCTGTTCATGTTCACTTTCACAGTACACTTTCTGGGTGTTTAATCTTTATTTAAGTTTTATTGTATAATGTAGATAAGAGAAATGTTTAAATAGGCAGGTTCTTATATTCCAGCTTCCTTTCTCGTAATGACTGCCATAATGCTTGGAAATGTGATGCTGAAACATACTTTGGTTTATAGGGCCTTTTTTGTTGTTGTAGGAGAGCTTGAATGATGTAGTGGTTAGAGCAGGGGGAGTCAACCTTTTTATACCTACCGCCCACTAATGCATCTTTCTTGATGGTAAAATTTCCTTACCGCCCACCAGTGCTCAATGGAAGGAGGATTCAGCTTGTGCCGTAGAACCCCCTATCGCCCACCTAGAATCCTGAAACACCCATTAGTGGGCAGTAGGAACCAGGTTGACAATCCCTGGGTTAGAGTGTTGAAGTAGAACCAAGGTTCAAATCCCCACTCCATCATGAAGCTCACTGGGTAACCTTGGCCCAGTCACTATCTCTCTTCCTAACCTACCTCAGTGGTGTTGTGGGGATTAAATGGGGAGGAGGAGAACCATGTACCTTTGAGCTCCTTGGGAGAAAAGGGTGGAGTATAAATTAAATAAGTGTGAAAATTATTTAAGGAAAAATATACTGAGGTCAGGTTTTCATATCTACTCAGTGAAGCAGGCGTTTTTACTAGGTTCAGTGAAGGAAACACACTTTCAGCTCTGGCAGAAAGTACAGGTGGTTTAGCTAAAATCAGACCCTTGTTTTGAAGTGGGATCTTTAAAATGATATGTTCAATCCAGAACCTTAACTCCTTGTTAAAATAGTTTCCAAGTACAGTACAATCATATAAAGTTCTCATCTGCTGTATCTTTCTTCATATACTTTGGGGAAGAATGGTTGTCAAGTTAGTGTCATAGAATTGTTACCATAGCAATTCCTTTGACCTCCCCTCTCTACCTTTATTGGGAATGAAGAGGAAATCAAGGCAATGCAATAGAACAAAGCAGATGTAACATTGACATGCTTCTCCGGTACTGTAAAATTTACAGTGACTTTGGTTTCAGAACCCTACAGATGCTATCTCAGTGTGAAAAAGGCATACCTCAAGGCTTTCTTCATGCCTGGATCAAGTTCCAGTTGTTGTAATTCCATTTCTTTCCCTGGCACAAAGATTATAGAGAGGCCTGAATAGAAGAACAAAAATGTAGCTTGTTCATACAATGTGACCAAGGAAACAATCAGCATCAGTCTGTAATTGAATGCAAGAATTTGCCCTACATGTGTGGACTTTACAGGCTGGTATGGCAAAGATAATTCAGGTGTAAGGTAGCCTCTTTGTATAAGGCTCAAGCTAGCAAGGGTATAAGGCAAAGAAAGTACCTGGTGAACAAAGTAATTAGATTAGGAAAGCAAAGCTAGACTTTCTAATTCATTAAATCATTTGGATTGCCTGAAAATAGCTATCCTACAATATTTGTTTGCTTACTGATCTGAAAATGACCCACAGAACTCTCTGAAGGAGGCCTACTCTTGTTGAAACCTTTGCACACATACAGTGAAGTACACAGGACAGAGTCTGACCATTGGCCATCCAGCTCAGTACACTGACTGACAGTGGCTTTACAGCATTTCAGACAGGAAGTTCCTTCTATAAAAGCGGGAAAGATGAGCTGGGGCTCTTCTAGCATTCAAAGTTTCATCTGGGGAGAGGCAGGTGCAGAAGGGCTCTATGGAGGATCCATATCTTAGCCCAGGGGTCAGCAACCTTTTCCAGCCCCACAAATAACCCAGAGATGCATTTTAAATAAAAGCACACATTCTACTAATGTAAAAACGCGCTGATTGCCAGACCATCTGTGGGCCGGATTGCGAAGGCGATTGGGCCACATCCGGCCCACGGGTCTTAGGTTGCCTACCCCTATCTTAGCCTTATAAACACTGATATACAAGCGGCAACCATTTTAGATGCATTCAGTTGATATGTGATCGCCATCGCGTGAGTCCTTTTGGACCCGGAAGAGGGCAGAACGTGCTTATACATGCTCCACCAACACACACAGGGGCCAAGAACACAACCCCCCATGCGAAATGGTCACCACCTGTACCTTAAGGTATTTGTGCTAGCGTTTTGTTTTTGTTTTTAAAAAAGACTGGTTTATGCTAGTGTAGTCTTGCATTCTATGCCTTTAGTGTGAGTTTCTTTTCTTAGTTATTTTAGTTATGGGTGCTTAAATATTAGACAGTAGAGACATCACCTTACCAACAAAGGTCCGTATAGTTAAAGCCATGGTTTTCCCAGTAGTGATGTATGGAAGTGAGAGCTGGACCATAAAGAAGGCTGATCGCCGAAGAATTGATGCTTTTGAACTATGGTGCTGGAGGAGACTCTTGAGAGTCCCATGGACTGCAAGAAGATCAAATGCATCCATTCTTAAGGAAATCAGACCTGAGTGCTCACTGGAAGGACAGATCGTGAAGTTGAGGCTCCAATACTTTGGCCACCTCATGAGAAGAGAAGACTCCCTGGAAAAGACCCTGATGTTGGGAAAGATGGAGGGCACAAGGAGAAGGGGA